CATTTGGATTTAAACTTATACCCATAGACTGTATTCAAAAGATGGACCGCCACCTGGTGTCTGGCTAAAGCAGAGGTCATAAATCTGTCCTGGTTCATGTTAGTGGATGGGGCACGGACCAAAACAATCAAAATACACATCAAATAAATTTGTTTCAAAGAAGATTTCTGTCATTTTAGGTTGTTCTTGTTCAAGTGCCCCTTTTTTTTAGTAAGTTTGGTTTTCATTATTTAATGCTATAAGAAAAGGAGAGAAAACATTATTGATGATTGAAGAGTACTTGATACCTCAGCTCCATCCCCCTGATCCCCCCCCCTGTCCAGACTCTGGCACCAAATGATATTTTGACTTCATTTCTGGATAGTGGAAGGAAGCAGAGATGTGTCGTCCATCTTTATTTACAATTTATGCTTTGACCACAGCAACTGAGAGTAAGTGCATATCCACTTGTGATGTAGTCAAATAGGACAAGTGGTATTTAATGTAACATATGCAACATCTGACAGAACTGAAATCAGTGTGAGAAGTATGTCTTCACATACAGCATTATTCATTTTTATAAAGAAATTAATTTTATTGTTTTTTGTTTCTAATAGTTTTTTAGCCTTGATGGGAGCATGGTAGTTAATGCCACCATTAGGTTCAATTTTGTTTTTGAATGACATTTCTGTTGGATGAGTAAAATTTCTTCAGGTCCAATTCTGTGACTGGTTCAAATGAGTTTTATCCCCTGTGCAGTGGAGGTCAATAATCAGAGCTAATGTTTTATACCATTGCACCAAGGCACGTCTAAAAACAATTGGTTGTTATCTCTCAATTAATGTAAAATGGTCTTGTCTCAACACAGAGCTTGATGTCATGTAGAAAAAGGCAAGGCAAGTAGAATTGTTTTTAATATATTTATAAATAGTTACTTGATTTGGATACATACAGAAAACAGTATTTTCTTTATGCCCCCTCAGGATGATTTGTAATAACTTTGGTGACTTCATTTTGTTTTCATCAGCACCACACAAACATCTGTTCATATGTTGTGAGCGCTTTAAAGTCTTTTTTATGTCACCATAAAAATTATGCTTCAATTCAATCCTTCCTGAGAGCAACACAGGTGCGCTTGATTTGAGTTTGTTTTGTTGTTGTTTTGATGATTCAAGATATTCCTGTTCAGGCGTATCTTGAATCATCAGATACTGTTTTGTATTTATACCCCTAGATGGTGCTATTGATCAGTGACACACGTGGAGCCCTAAAATGAGTTTGTTTCTGCTTGTTTGTACATTAAATGTATTATTTATATCGACTTATATACTTGTATTGACCAGTAGTTTTATCTGTATGTGATGCATATGTATCAGTGTTTGTGTGTCATTTTGCACTTGCATCTGTGTGTTTGTGTTAAGGTGTACTTTGTGGCCGTTGTGGACCCTCGACTTGATTAGGGGTCCACCAGGAGTCTCGGAGCAGGAGGACAGAGGAGCTGATGGAGTCTTGAGCCTGGAGCTGGTTTCTATTGTCCCCAGTAATTGGATTTGGTCTGGGAGGAGAGATGACTGCCAGCAAGAGGTTGGGATCATTAGGTGTGAATGAGACATGTGGTGTCAGGGCCTCACACTCACACACGTGTCCACACTGATGCAAATAAATCTGAAATTGCTGTATTTATGTCAAACATTGTTCGGCCCATGTGTGATTTCAGACCAATAGTTTCAAAGCTCATCTCCTCATTTAAACATTAGAATGAAAAGGGAAACATCTAAATCTCTTCTTCACCATCATGATATGATATTAAAAGACAGCAAAACTAACTGGCTGTGTTCTTTTCAAATTAAAGTCCAAACGTAGTTTTAAAGTGAGTTTGAGTATCTTTAGGATTGATGTGAGGAGGCACTAAACTGAAATTCAATTACTTTATTATATAACCTGACAATTTTATTTCATTTTTACACATTTGCTTCTGCATCTTTGGCTTTGATCCATCATATTTATTTACGGCATTCGTCCTACCTTTTTTTTTTTTTTTACACCTTTTTATGTCATGATATAGAGCGGTCACAAGCAGGGATTGGCCTTCCAAGACAGTCTGAAACACTGGGTGGCGTTATGAGCCACGTTCAACACAGATTTGTAGATTTTCAATGAATAAAAAAAAAAATATAAACTCTTATTCAGGTTTGTAATGCAGCAGGTTACATTACACAGCAGATATCTGCATATTTGTCCAAGTTAATCTCAGCAAGGGAGGAACATTTACTCACACACACACACACACACACACACACACAGGGTGTTTCCATGGGGACCAAGCAGCCACTCTGTTCTTCAATAGGGGGAGAGTGAGTCGAGGTAGACTGCTATTGTGTTGTGTGTGTTTGGGGGGTCGGGGTGGCAGTTCGAGAGGGGTTAGGGGAAGCATTATTAAACAACGCACTAGACAGATGAAAGCGCTGCACGTCCTTAAATCTCATCATAATTTAGTCATCAGTAGAAGATGGTAAGACCAAAATAAAACAGGAAATAGGCCAGACTGACAGGACGGAGCGAGACAAGAGCGCACAAGTCAATGGAGCTATGAGATTACTGCTAGATGACAAATGCTAGAACCTCATGGACAGTGATGGTCTTATTCCTAAAGCTGATGCTTATTTGTTGCACCAATCCCGATATCCTAGCACAGGCACTTAACCCTAAAAGGATTTCTAAAGCTCAGATGCCACAGATACAGTAATTACAGCCATAATCATCAATACCTGGAGGGCCAAAAAACACCAAAATGTAAGACACTTTTCTCTCAACAAACAAAAAAAACATGTTTCTGTGCTCAATAAAGGCTGAAAATAATTGGTCCATAAAGAAAGAAAGAAAAAAAAGAGGAAACATCAGAAGATCAGTGGAATCTACTGGTTTATATCTGAGACATGTAGGACTATTATTCCACAACAATGCTGCAGAGAGTGACACAGTGGAGCCCATTAGGGCGACCTGGCCCTCCTCACCTTCACTGTGGAGAACTTTTCAAACACATTCAGACAAAGAGCATTTAAAGGATCACGAGGAGGAAGGGGGGGGTCCTGCTGGGGTTTTTCACAAATGGACATTTTCCAGTTGATAGTGATATTTCTTGGATTGAAGTTACTGATGAATAATAAGGGCTGATAATTGGACTAATTTAAGTTTCTCTCTTTATGAGAAAACATCCAGATTTATACATGTTTTCAGCATCACCCTCCTCGTGAATCAGGGTGAATTATTTATCATGCACAGTTTCTCCATTTAGGATAAGACAAGTATAAGTATTGCTTGATAAAATGTGTGGCTAAGTATTAATTAAATCCTGTACATCTCATTGTTGCAGGGCCTCTAATTCAAACATACCGTTTGACCCATGATTTATAAACCTATTTATATACCTATTTTATTGCCTATTTTAAATGCCTTTTACTATCTGTTGCTGGAACCAGCGAATTTCCCCAACATGGGATCTATAAAGTTTATCGTCACTGGTTGATTCTATTAATATTTATTAGGTTTTCACACTGAAATACCTATTCTGCTGAAATTTGGCCATGCAGTTAAATCAGCTTAAACTTGTTCCTATCAACCTCTTCATAATAACAGTGTAAAAGATTAGATCACTCATTTTGGAGCAGACTCTGACTTTTCTGGTATGTTTGTGTTAGTTTGTGATACAGAGACAATTACAGAATAAATAACAATAAAAAACTAACTTACTGTGTTAATGAGGAATTAAAATAAGGCATCAGTATCAGGCAAAAAAAGATGAAATGATCATCTCACTCCCCTAACGTTTACATTTTTATTGTGTTTTTTAATTGTGCTTAAAATTCAACAACTACCTCTAATTAATTATCACCAATTAACCCAAGCCTTTGGATTCCCTGAAGCTCTGGGGGCATTTGTCTTTTTATTTTGCACAATGAGAAATCTTGCCTTGTCCAAGTCTTTTATACAAACATCAACATGTCGTCTGTGGAATAGGGCAAAAAACAGGCAAAAAATATCCCTTCTATTCTATTCAACAATTAAGTAGAAACTGGGTTCAGGCAGCATTGATCTGTACAGTATATAAACTATACTCTTTTCTTTAGATTTTATCAAAGCCATAGTTGTGATCACACATGCAAATATATAATATATAGTAACAGAAATGGACAAATATGATTTGCAGATAAGTTTTTTTTAATCATTGGAAGCATATATTGATTTTAAATGTTGCAGGAAGAGGTTTGAGGAGAATTTCTGTGTCCCTCTCAATGATTCTTCTCTCTGGGGAACTGACACTTTGGATGCTGGGGCAGCTTCAAGCAGCCCATTAGTGAGAAACTCTTCTCCACCTCTGCTTTGTCTTCCGCTCTCCGGTCCTCTTCTCTTCTGGGTCAGATTCTTCTGTGCAGATACAAGTCACGACCTTTCTGTGTCAGACTAAATAAAGGCACCACCTCCTGCTATTAACCACAGTGTTGACCATGTCCTTGAGGGATTTTTTTTTAAATCCCATGTGAGCTCTAAAATCAACTTAATCATCAAGTGATTTTTAGTGCAATACTTTATTTTAATAAGTTAAACCATTATAAGTATTTGCATTACAGTATCCCATAACCTGTTTAAAATTAAAATCAGCTTAAACATATAATCCTATTATACATATTATACAAATTATGCATAATGACGACATTAGCCTTTGATACTACTGGTAAATTTAGATGGAATTACTTTCTTACATCAGTAAAATTGTGAGTATTTATACGCGGTGCTAAAAGTTTTAATGCACCATTGCACAGAACCTTTTTTTTTTTTTTAAAGGCTGTGCTTATTAATTTTCACCTTGATGCCAAAATGTAACACATACATTAAACTTACTCACACATCCATATAAGATATACATATATACACACACATACATTTGACAGAAACAAACGAGACAAAGCAGAAAAAGAATGGGATGAAAATCTATATTTTTTTAAAAACAATACAATAACGCGCGGAACCTTTGACACGAAGCCTCGGTTTCTCCACGGAGCACTCTTCCGCTGGCGGACTGTGAAATGACATAATGGTAAACACAGTGAGGTGAGTCTCGATTTATATTTTCCAGCTTGTTCTCGCACCAGATTCACAACCGAGCAAAACCGACAGGATACATGTGATGTGCGGGTCTGATGCGGGCGAGCGAACACTTTTGTCTCGAGTTAAAGCAACGTCCTCCACGGATGGAGAGAGGCTAGCGTTAGCAGCTAGCTGAGGAGACCCCCCCCCCCCCCTCCCGTTCACTTCACATGAGCTGGGGAGAGAAACAGGCCCCTCTTCCCTCAGCTGTCAGGACCCTCCACTGTTTCATACATGTTTGTACACACTGGGTCTGTGTGTGGGGACGTTCGTCTGTGTCAGAGGGTTAGCATACAGGTCAATGTGCTAACACACACACACACACACACTGACCGTGGCTTCACCTCTGTGCTGAGATGCTGACTGAGTGTTTACAGATTCCGGAGCAAACACACACACACACACACTCTGAAACACACACACACACTCTCTGAAACACACACACACACTCTCTGAAACACACCGGTGCTGAGGCTTGTTTTCATTTCTTGTATCTGCTGCTAGCACTGTTAAACTGAAGGGGGATGATTGTGTAAAGTTTATTAAAGGTTATGATCAGGACCAGTGATGCACTTCTCCACTTTTCATGTGTTTAAAAAAAGTTCATATCGCATATCATCACTTTCGGCCTCTGAAAGCAAAGAAAAGTACACTGATTTGGTGAATGGAGGAGTTATTGTCAGTAATGGTGGAATATGTGAGGAGGCGTGTTGTATGTCAAACAGTGTTGTTGTAATCAGCTGCCACCAACAGGAATTCGACTGATACCGTGTGCACCTCTGGTACCAGTGCATCTAAAACAGCTTCAACTTATGTAACGTATTTTAAGAGCTGTTTGCTACGGAAGTGCTGATTATTTATTTATATTTGTTGTATTAAATACATACAGAGAATAAATGCCCTAGAACTTCTTGTCGTATCTAGTTTGACGCAAATAAATACATCTAGGAATACGCAACCATTACTTCCTTTAAATAACTCAAAACGGAAGTCTTGCATATGGTAGTAGACGCTGATTTATGTGTGGGACTTTTTAAGCGTGAAATCTTGCTGCATCACTGGAAATCTGGAACTCTGGTCATATTTCATCTTGAGTTACTTCATCACTGATGAAAAGAACTCGAATCTGTGCTTACTCAGCTGATGTTGGGTGTATTGGCGTAACAGAATGCATGAGTCAACATGAGTCAATGAGTAACTCACCTTGATGACACTGCTCAGTTAGGTCAGATTTATTGGCCACAGGGGATGTCAGTGTAAATATGTCGTCTAAGGAGTTGTACAGTTTTAATTTATATTAAATTACAATACCATATTTATTTTGGATCAAAGTAAAAAGTGACTTCTTGAATAGAAACTGATTTTTTTCGACACTGCCTCAGCAGCTTTGTTGCAGTGTTACTTGTATGTAATGGCACAAAATTCCTTTGTGCTATGCAGATTGTGTGTCAGGTTAATTCATGTGAGTCACTAAATCTCCAATTAAAACCCCAGAAGATGATTAAAGTCATTGATATCTGCAATAATATCCCAGTTTATTTGCATTTCCAACAAATGATCATGAAAAAATTGTAAATGTTCAATATGTAGGTCAGCTGACTAGAAATTGAATTACAGTGATGTAATGGCCTTTAAATAATTGATATGTAGAGAAAAGTAAAAGGGGCTGCACTTTGGAGGAGAAGAAAATCAATGAGAACAAGGGAGCACTAATGAGAAAGAAAGAGGTACAGACAGAGAAAAGAGAGAGAGAGAGGGACAGAGACAGAGGAGAGTATCAGAAGAGATAGGCGGTCCGGCAGAAGGATGGGAACCCCACCCAGGCCTGTTTTCTCCCCGTCTGCTCGGCCGTGCGATAAGCAGCTAAAGAGGAAGTCAAGTATTATTTCATCAGGACATGTGAGGGAGGATCATCGTCTCTGTTTGCTGAGGATGAATCTGTGAAGCTCCTCTCAGTGTGAGGAAGATGCTGTCGTTGGGGTGGGTAGTTTGATGCTTTAACTTGTGAAACTTAGGGTTTTAAAACTGCCACCTGGAAAAAAAAGACTTGAATCTCTCTATAAATTTCTCGCACTGTTTTTTTCTCACAGCTGTGTTTCCTTTCTGGGGCATGCTTCCTCTTTACTGTTTTCTCTCTTCTTTTTTACAGTCAAGCCACAAACTCTCTGTTCCGTGACCTCACAGCCACCTGACTGGCCAAGAGAGCACCGATAATAATGCTGATGGTCGATTTTTGACATCACATCTTCCGCAATTTGTCTCTTTTTACTGTTTTTGTTGCCCCGAGTGTGTGGATGTGGCCAAGTATCTGTGTTTGCCGCCCATATTGGCTCAATTAGGAGAGTCTCAAGCTGCTGCCTGTCTTGTTGAGCTCTGGCATGATGCCCCTGTAGCTTTCCCCAAGAGGTAGAGATTCACTATTGGAAAAGGAAAAGTGAAACTCTGGACAAAGGCCTTATCTTGAGGCGGGGAGCAGGACTTGGCTTCAGGCAGCAGTTTGTGAAGCCTGTAGGCTGCTTGGATCTTCCTCACCAATTATTAGCTCATCAAAGTACCTAATAGTCTAGTTTGCTTTGTTGGACATGTGGATCCTGCTAATGGGGTTTCTGCCCCCGTCTTGGAAAAATATCTAGTTGTGAGATTTACAGCTCAGGGGTAGACCCAGCCATGGAGGGTCTTGAGCAACTTGACATGGTGGGCGATATCAGCCCGGCCTTGGAGGCAACTGAGGACTTTATCCACTGCATGGATACACAAGGCCAAGGTCCAAGCCAGGTCCAACCAGGGAACGTCCAGCCTCCCAGGCAACCCAAGCAGCTGCAGGAGGTGTCCACTGTGGCGCTGGGGAAGCTGAGCTCCAGCGGCGTGTGGGGCCTACTGGCCGGAGAGCAGCCAGAGGTGGGCCCCTTAGGCCTGGCGTGGGCCGACAACTTCAGTGTGTTAGGGCTTGGGATGGGCTTGAGGCACGGCAAGAGGAGCCGGGCGCGCTCCACCAATGACCTGGCAGCCCACTCCAAGGAGTGTACCAACAACACCGCCAACTCCTCATCCAAATCAGCCTTCAAGAAGGGTCACAACCGGTCCAGATCTGACTTCAACTACCGGCCGTCAGCCTACACCGACAATGGTCTGCCCACCGTGGACTGCAGCACATTGAAGAACATGATCCTCAACCACCAGCAAGGAGGTGAGTTCACATGGTGTGAGTCTCTGTGTGATCTGCTGTTGAAAGTGGTTGTTATGAATTAGTGTTTCTAAATTGAGCAGTGAATGTGAACTGATTGATCAATAACAATGAAAATTGTTGCAATTGAAAAAAAATACAAATTTAAATTAAAAATGGTTGAAAAAAATGCTAAAAGGATAAAAGAGTAATAAGTGAAAAATACTTATGTGTAAGCCATTCAGTTATAGTACGTTTTGAGGATTTTTAATGTCTGATCCTTTATCTGACTTGGATTTTTCTTATCTGGGATTAATGGCATGAGGAGAGTTGTTGCTTTGACTCATTAAATATGATGCCAGGTCCTCGGGTCTCGAACTACATATTCTTAACATAGGCCCAAAAGGCCCTCACCTGTCAGAAACGTGCACACCTCCTCCTGCCGCTGTGCTCAGATAGAGTGTCCATTCACTGGAAAGCTGTCTCAGCCTCTCAGAGGCTTTTGGAGGACAGAAGTCCTGGACTATTTGTGCTGCAGATTGGGGCGTATGCTCTACTTATGTTGAAGCATCCTCAGAGAAAGCAATAATGATAGAAGATGATGATAACTTGAAATGACACAGCTGTGCTATGATAGCCAGTGCAGAGAGTGTGCACACACACACACACACACACACTAACACACACACACACACCATTTGTTTGTGTGTTTTGGCCAATCTGAAGGCCTAAGGAGATCCTGAGGGATCCTGAGGGATAATAGCCTGTAATCCTGTCAGCAAATGGACTCAAATGAGGCGAAAGAAGAGGCAACCCAATTACCCGGCTCCTGACACTGGCAGGATTATTTAGTATTAGCATATGTGTGAAAAGGCATCAGGTTATTTAGTTTGGCTGGATGTGTATTGAAAGGAGAGAAGTAGGAAAAAGGACGATAATAAGCAGAAGGCAGCGTGATTCGGCTCAGCCTCGTCTCCTAATTCACACTGAAAAAAGGTGGCCTGTTTGCCTTTCCATTAGTGACAGCTGGGGATGTTTAGATGGTCAATTTAAATGATTATTATTATATACACACTACACGTGTCTGTAGGACCAAAGAGTCTTCCTGGTTAGCTTTTATTAAAGCCCCTTTATGTTTTATAACAGATTGTATAAATCTGTTGAATAGATTTTTTGTTTCCGTCTTTCTTGCAAGTAACTAACAGGACTTAGAAGAAATAAGACACGGTCTCTTATTGGCTCAAAAACAAAACAGATAATGAACTACAGTGACTTTCAGCAGAGAGCAAACTTCCGCCAAGGCCCAACAGTGCCCTTAAATCCAGTCAAGCTGCACATAGTTGCACACACTCATTAGTGAATCTGTTTCACTAAGAGCCATGAAGTATTCCCTTGGACATTGTTGAACATGACACAAAATGCCCTGTCACACAATGGTTACGTCCGGATAAATACCAAAATGATATGTTTTCTTTCTTGGCCCCTGTCCCATCCTTCCACCAAGTTTTATGAAAATCCTTTCGGTAGTTTTTGCGTAATCCTGCTGACAAAAAAACAAACAGACAAAAATGAAACCTCTTTGTCATACGTATAGATATAATTTTACTGATACTGAAGCCGCTATTTAATTATCAACAAGATAATCAACAAAAATTCCAAGATAAATATTTTCTGGTTCCATTTTATAAAATGGTTTAAAAAGCCTCGGTGAACCCTGGAGAAGATGGATGCATTTTAACTTGTAATCTATATGTACATTGGTATCCACGTATCCTCTGGAGTCCGATTTAAAAACAGCGTGTAACATTATGTTTTGGCTTCCTAATCAGTGGGTGAGGCTGCTTGGTTAAGCCTGAAGCGGACCTTTCTGTCTTGATTGGCTCGAGGGCCGCGGTTCTGACGAGTTAGTTTGCAGCACGTAGAGAAAAGTGTTAATTCTGGTTGAAGGCTTGCATGTGTATATTAGACTAATACTGAAGTGTGATGTCAAAACCTACCAGGTGGAGATGAAGGCTAATTGAACAGAGCAGTTCTCGTAGCCACGATGCCTAATTCTAATCTCGACCATCCCAAGCGTGAAGACTGCCAATCAGCCAGACTTGACTCCGGCTTAACTTATTTGCATATTCGTTTGTTCCCTTTACAAAAAGGTTTGTTAACATGCAAAGTCCGAGACAGAGAGTGACACCGTGTCTGCTGCTGTTTTTATAAGATTGATGAGGCACTTGACTCGCCACCCTTTAGTTAATAGGAGCTGTGTCGGATTCAGTTTTCCCTTTTCCCTCCTTGAGTGATTCAGCATGTTAAAGAAACAAAATGCAATATATGTTAATTAAACTGCCTCTGGTCAGGGTTATCAATTAAATCACAAGGGTTGAGGCTTGAAGTAGAAGTTGTTATTTTTAAGTAAACGTGTTTGCCCAGCAATAATTGACTCAAAGATTTGTCTGTAAAAAGGTGGTAAACTTGGTCAAAATAATTACTATGTGAGATTTTACCATTGTTTCAACAAATATTTCCATATGAAGCATGTCAGTTTTTCAGGGGACCGGCGGGGCCCGACAACAAACCAAATAACACACAAATAAAGCAGTGAAGTTGGAATGCAAACTCCCAGTACCATGTACCACATCATGCACGTACATTGAGACGTAATATTCTTCAACCAAACCTCTAAAATCATTAACTTCATGGCAGAACATTAGTGACGTGCTGTTGTTAGTGGATATCAAATGGATCAAATGTGGTGGAATCAAACCTCCTGAGCAGCTGATTGTAAAATATCAGAGTTGGACAGTTTGCCTAGTGGCCTTTTAAACAATACAGATTCCTCCTACCTTGGTGAGAGGAACATTTTTTCAGATAAGCCCATGTGGATGGGTATCTCTTAACACCAATGCTCAGGTCTGAGCTGCCTCTGATAAGCTATAACTTGTGTAGGAAACTTTAGATGATGATTCCTTGTGATGGTTTGGTTTTAGATCCTGCTGGAAAGAGTGGTAGTGGGATTGGTTTGTGCGATAAAGGGACTGAAAAGTTTGGGTCTGATAAAAGATGCATGCGTGTTGTCGCTGTTGCACCCAGTCCCCCAAATATCAAATGCCAGTATTTATAAGATATAAAACATTTATTGATGTATCTCAAATTACAGACGACAATGTCCACAAAGGATCAAGCTACAAACTTTTCTGAGGGTGATTGTTTTAAAAAATTAAAGCAGTTGTGTGTGTGACCTGTTATTTGTGCCTGCAGAAGATGACCTTTACCTGGTTGGTCAGTGGGAAGGTGTTAATTGTCTCAAACATTACTCATCTCATTCCCCCCCCCCCCCTCTCCTCTGTGCAGCTGATAAAAGCAGCGTTAGCAGCAGCAGTGTGGTGAAGCAGGGTGGGATGGAGCAGCGAGAGGGGCCCCGGGGCCGCTGGACATCCTGTCACGTTGAGCTGACACCCTGCGAGCTCCGGCTGTACATTCTGGACAGCAGCGCCAACCGCCAGCTGGGCACTGCCTACTCTCTGTCACACTGCCAGAGCGTCATCTCACCAGCACCCTGCAGTCAGCCCGGCCAAATCAGCCAGCCTGCCGATCAACGCACGCTTCAAGCTTTGTTCTTCAACAGCACTCGTCTCCAGCTGAGGGCGGCTAGCCAATGGGAGGCCATGGAGTGGAGACGGCTGATGTGGGAGAAGGTGCAGGCAGCCAGACCTGTGAGGCAGGAGAACCGGCAGTGTAAGACCGCAGTGGAAAATCAGCAGGTCGCCAAGTTTCCCGCACCCATGTCCCCGTCCTCGTCCCCCTCTCCGTCCGGGCTTGACACCAGACCTGATGGTGAGAGCGAAGCAGAGGCCTCGCTCCCTTTTCAATCTAATTCTGGCATCGTGAGCAGACCCACCACCCTTCCTCTGTTCACTCAACCCTGCCAGGAGGTCCTCAAAGCTGGTCTTCTCCACCAGCTGATGGACCAGAACAACTGGCGGACCTTCACCTTCGTCCTGACCAGATCTGCTCTCCAAGCCTTCCCCACTGAGGGCCGGGGGTCTGTGTCCCAGCCCGTCCTCCAGTACTCCCTGGCATCTTGCTTGGCTGTGCAGCACGATCAGGAGCTAGAGAACGGGGAGCCGTGGACGGAGAGAAGGGAACAGTTCCAGGTAGTTTTCCCCAAGGACGTGCTCCGACTTTGGGCTGATGATCAACTGAAGGGCAAGGAATGGGTGGAGATGCTGCGAGAGGCAGTGGCGGCACAGAGGCCTGCACAAGAAGAAGGTGGAGAAGCGGGAGAAGGAGCTCCAGGCCTCCAGGGAGTGCTGTTAAGATCAAAACCGTCTCGTGAGAGGAGGCAGCGGGAGGCCCAGAAAGCCAAGAGGCAGTCAGTCACCACTAGTTTCCTCAGTATCCTCACCTGTCTGGCTGTGGAGAAGGGACTCACAGCTCAGAGCTTCAGATGTGCAGGTGAGTGGCCCACACACACATCAAATATTTGAATAATGCATAATGGATATATGAAGGTCTCTTTTAATTAATTTGCCTTTTCCTGCATGTTTTTCAGTATTTAGTCTCTTTCCATATCCAGTAGAGTCACAGCCTCTCTCCTCCTGTAGTATTATTATTCCTCACCTCACCACACGGGGCCTTGGACAGCCCCATAAATGGCAGGCGGTGCTTTTACTCTCCCTGGGTGTGAAATGTGGGCTTCCTCTTTCTCTCGCTCTTAGGAGGGCTTTGAATAATCACTGCTCACCCCCCTTTTTTATTTGTAACAACTGGCTTATTAATGCAAGGCTGTTTGAAAGGCCAGCTGAAACAGGAACAAGGACACAGGCCGTCTGGGGGCAACTGATGATAATTGGTAGGCTTAAAGCGCCGGGGGGAGAGGAAAAAATGTATGAATGAATGCATGAATGAATGAAGGCGAATGAAAGCATCCTGGGGATGCGGCGGTGGTCAGGCCTGATCGTAGCTGTTTGATTGAAGGGTTTCAGGGTAGAGCTGGATGCGAGGGACAGCTGGATACGTCCATTTTCTACACCTCTGCTCACTCAGTCCCTTTATTTCCCGCCTTTTCCTCTCTTTCTTTTTGTTTCCTTTCACCAGTCCATTCAGAGCACCTTCGTCCCCTGTAGTGTTACTTAGCAGGTCTTGAAAAAGTGTTTTACACCATTTAAATCCAACGCCATTAAAACGATATTCTAAATCCACGAGGTTATGTTAGAGGTCTTGTGTTTTTTATAGTTTTTATTTATCATGTTTTTTTTTTTCTATTTGGTCTTAAAGTCTTGCTCCCACCAGTCTTACAGTGAGAATGTTCAACTGTCCACAGTCAGGCTCCCTCTGCCCTCCCCTGGCTCCCCTCGGTAATGTGCAGCTCATTCTTATTTAGATGTCACCAGTTTGCTATTATACATTATTAAGTCACTAGTGCAGTCCCCCGTTCTAAACCTGCCTGTTTGAAATGAATAGTTTGCTTGATGTGTGGTGATGCTGGTGGCAGCATTATTTGTGAAACTGTAAAAGTGACCTGCAGTAATTGATCTGAGGCGCTGGTATCTTAATCACACCAAGTTTAACACACTTGCACTTTCTTTAACAGTAAACATGGCAAGTGTGAAACCGACATGATGAACGGTTCTCAAGATATGAAAATACCACAGACTGACTAAATTTGAAGCTTCAGCTGAAGTAGTCGATATTTGTAGGGTTGCTTATATAAATAATGAGCCTGTATCGCTGACTGTGGCTCATTTACAGTATTTTGTCTGCTGATTAACAAGCACTGGCTCTATCTCTATCAAATAAACAATCAGTTGGACTGAAATTGAACAAGCCAGCATTGGTTGGCAGTTTAACTTTCAGAGAATTAAAAATGATTATTTACACAAAGAGAATATTGTCTGACCCGCAGACCTGACTATCTATGGTAAACCCTTAAAAGCCTTCATCAAAAGCCTTCATCTTCTGTTGTGAACCTGAGTGCATATCTGATTATTCATATATGAAGCCACTAATCTAATGAAAGATCTCTTGATGGTGGCGACAGCAAAGCCTAATGTTCAGTATCCTACTTTAGTTTCAATTTCGCTTTGAACTTGTTTCAAGTCTTCCCTTTGCATATGCATGCTACGTCCATCCATACATATCGAGCGATCGGTTATTTAACATCAAAATGTAAAATGTATTCAACTCATTACACATGGGACTGCAGCGTTTTTTGAATCCTTTTGAAGGATTGAACGGTTTGTGCTCGTTTGAAGAACGTGACTCCCCATCACCCCTCACCACGCACGCACACTGTGCAGAGGGTGCCCTCAGGTTTGGTGACCCTTGTTGTTGCAGTGGAGCACGTTCTCAGGCCCCTGACACACCATGTGAGTCTGTGGGTGGTGGCTTCGGGTGAAGTGGGAGTCAGTAGATATGAGGGAGAGGAGGAAGTAGGAGGTGGGCTCACATCAAAAGAGACAGTTTCACTCTCTCCAACACACACACAAACACACACACCTGAATTTTTGGGGCCAAATGACCCTGTAGTGTGAGGGGTTTACAGATAATCTTAACGTTACTGACGTAACCAGAACTTCCCTAATTTCAAATCGTAAATATTAAACATTAAGTATTATTTTATATTACTTATTTCAAATTGGGGCAACTCGTATTGTATGAAAGGAACAGCGATCGTGTAACAAGCGCAACCAGATGACTATGCCGGCAGTCCACCGCCATGTTTGTTTTTATTCTGAAGTCACGTTTGATCATACAAGTTCCTGTGAGTTCCTATTTGTCTGGAATTGACGCTCAGGAATCGTTGGTTTTAACACGAAGTGGGGTCCTGCATCTCCACTGGGTTGTCGACTACGTACGTACTCAACTTTAAAATATTAACGATGGGTCACGTCTGTCAGTGTGTCTGTTGTCTACCACCTTTTTAAAATCAGTCCTTTACTGTGCAGCAGCTACGACCCTTCATACCCCGAAGTCTCAAACTTCAAACTGCCAGTTAAACCTGTGAGGTCCTGACAAACTCCACATGTCCGATATGTGTATAGTGGTCTCCTGGTACACACACACACACACACACACACACACACACACTACGTTACTCTCCATTAGTGCATATTATCATTTGAGTGTTTGGTCGGTGTGAATGAGACACATCAAAGCTTGGGCCTTACTCGTCTTTTCAGTTTTAATTCACACTCATGTACATAACTCTCTCTCTCTCTCTCTCACACACACACACACACACACACACACTCCCCTTCCCCTCTCAGAGGTGTGGTGGGTTGAACCACTGGCGGGCAGATGAAAGCATGAGCCCCTGATGCCATCTTTCTCTCTCTGTGCGTCTGTATGTCTCTCTCTCTCCCTCCACTCTTTCTCCCCCATGTACTCACCCTGGGGAGGTCAAAGTGACTCCCTCTCTCACTACAGAGAGCCGCAGTACAATCGGTAGACCTTTGAGCTACGTTTGAATTCCCATTCATCTTTCCCTCCGTCCCTCTTTCTCTTCGTCCCAGAAAGACCCATAAAAGATCAGAGACCAGGAGAGAAAGCATTTGTTACTCTGTGCTGATGGTGGAGGAAGTAGTCACCAGCAGAATTGTGTTAATCGTTACTCTAACATTTCAGCGAGTAGCACTCAAAATATGAACCTCTTGTTTGTGTTTGATGCAGTTTAACTATTGACACATCCATCAATTAATTTCTATAACGACTGTCTAATTGTTTAGTCTATTAAAATCTATTAAAGTGTCAGAATTGCCCACAAATCTCCTGAGGGTTGTCTGACTCATATTCCAAACTCTGAGAGGATTCAGACCAAACTGAAAATAAAATGTTTATTTTGCTGTTGATCAATTTACAGATGAACGACTGATAACCGATGGAAATAATATTTTATTCATGTTTTTGAATGTAAAGTATTTTACGCTCTTCCTGTTTGGCCGTCTGTAGAATTTTCCTAAAGGGGGGGGGTGCACATACGTACAACAGAAACATCTCAATCTGTCTTTGTTGCTTTGGTCCATGTGAGCTCATCTATCGGCTCAGTGGTGAAACTTCCTGCAGAGTAAATTCTGTCTGCTTTGAGGTTGTTGAGGTTTTGGTCAGGATCACGTCGACATCAGATTTATTTCTTCTTCCATTGTCCCACATTATCTCTTCTGACTCTTGTGGTAGTTTTACTGTGCAGAACTCATCATAGACCGGCCACAGCTGTGGCAGAAGTACTTTTCTTCCTCCATGTGTACATGTGTGGGTGCTCTCTCCTCTTGTCCTCATGATATAGAATTTGAGGTTAAGGTTAAAGGTTGTTATTTAGCTCCAGACGTATGCGTCTTTCTTCCTCTTGTCCCAAAAGCAACAGACTAAATTTGAGGCCACAGTTGGCCTGAAAGCCGGGCCGGTGGTCAGCTGATTCCTCGAAGTGACACAATGTTTTTCTGACTGGTGACCATCCCCTTTGCCTGCTGGCTCTCAACCAGTGGTCTGAGGTTTGTTGAAAGAGCATCCACCCCAACAACAGCATGAGCTCACTGCTTTAATTAGCCTACCTAGATCAGTGGTACACACATGTGTTTGATCACGGTTCCTTCAGTGAGATAAGATTGTTTCCATCTTAACCACCAAGCAGTAGTGGAAACAACCAAAGGCAAAACAAACTTTGGACAGTGTTGAAAATGGATGCTGATGATTCTCAGATCACAGCATCAATCAGTTTTTAGTGCCGCAGTGAAAATGGCCAGAACAGCCAGACCACATCTGAAGAGGGTTTGGAGGTGGACTCACATGCTGATTAGATGTCTCACTGGGGAAGACGCTCTATGTACAGAAGCCACATTTTTAAGAAAACCATTTAAGTTAACCCAACTCAAGCTGCTCATCAAAAAACCTCCCGTCCACGCTGTTCTTGGCAAAAGGGAAAACGAGTGGAACCCATTCAGCCGCTTTGCAAAGTTCCTGAGGGACTGATATGATGACTGTCATATGACTGACGGGGGTCACTGAGTCAGCTCCAGTACTGGCAACCTTCTGCACTATAATTAATGTTGACCTTTGTTGGGCTACAAAGAAGTAGTCTACAGTTTCCATCGGCTTTGTCAACGTGTCTCTTGACCCTCACCCTGCACGCTGTAGACGTCCTCAGGCGTGTGGTGCGATGACATCTCCGTATCACTGGATGAGATCGAAATAAGGCGTATTGATACCAGATGAGAATGAAACATGAATTAAAACTGTTTCATCGATCATTTCAGTGGTTATTAGTTAAAGCTGTAGTTCAGTCCATCATTCAGTCTGTTTATGACTTGTTTTTAAGTTGGTCAGATAAAGCAGGATTCCAGATTCTCTCAGTGCTGATGAGGTTATATTTTCTTTTTCAGATTCTTGTCTGATAGAAAAGGGACCTGGACTAACTTCCCTTTAATTTCTCTTTCATCTGTCCCTGTTTGAGCGTCCTCTCTTTCATTCAATTATTTCTCTCCGATCTCTCGATAGTCTCATTCTTTTCTGTTTTCGGTTTTCCCTTTTTTTTTCAGGCCTGTGTTGTTTCTTACATTGAGGCACTGCTAACAAACAGGCTGACACACGTCCCGCCTTCCTCTGCCGGTCTTCTTTTTCTGTTGTCCTTAGCTTTCCGTCTGTTTTTTTTGAAAACCTAGATAAAAGTCTCTCTTCTTCTCTACCTCTCTTCACTTGCTGTTTTCCTCCAGGCCCCATGTCCTCCCTCCCAGATCGTGTGGATAAGGGACACCTGTCACTGGGAAAATGAACTTTAAAGGGTCTGGCAGACAAAGCAGAGCATGGGGCAGCGATCAAGATGAATAGAGCAGAGGATCTGTTGGTCTTTCAGTTCTACAAAACACTTTTGTCTTGAGGTCTGCTGTTGTGACTACTGGAAGAACCAAGACTACACACTTTTCTGAAGGGATTACTTTGAATTAATTTGTCGGACAGGAGATTAAATCAAATGGGAGTATTTCTCTTCATCTCCAGTGTATTTTTATTCAATCTGTATCTGTCTTACACACGTTTAAAATTCTCCTCCCCTTCCGCTTGTTATTCAAGGAGGTCTGTTTTTCTCCTACACAGAGCAATCCTTATCCTGCAAGAGTCCAAAGTCAATTAAAGTGAACTGTTTTGAAATAACAATAAAACTTTCAAGAGGTACACATCTTAAGGGAAGCACCTCACCTCTAGTATATCTTTATTATCTTGTAATTTAATTGTGTTAACTATATAACAAATAAATGTAAAAGATATGTATGACAGTTTTGGGTTTCAGACTTCCTTTTAAACGTAGACATATCTTGTTTATTATCTACAGGTTTACTCGGCTGGATTAGTTTGGTTTTTAGTGAGGGGCAATAAACTGACACATATTAACACCAAGTTATTTGCTCCACAACCTTTGTGTTCCTCTGAAGTGCTGCTCCAGCAGATCGCTGACACCTACAGCTCTATGGTGCAACACTTCAGGGCTAATTAAAACAGGTTGGGACACATTAATGGACATAAACAAATTTAGCATTTTATTGAAGCCATCATTTTATTGCATGCAGGTTGTCAATGATAAGTCTGAGATTATTGCTCCACATTAAATTGGAAGTTTGTTGCATTAGTGAATCAAACTTTGACTTTCTTTACGGTGATTTAACTGCTTTCATCGTGATTTGAGACTTTCTCTATAGACTCTAGAGTCTAGAGCATCATCTTGTACCTGAAATCTGTTGTAAAGACGAACACAAGCACTCACTCACGCTCCCGGATGTTTTTCTCCTCAGGTTGTCAGCGTCCAGTCGGCCTGTCCAGAGGAAAGGCAAAGGTCTGCTACTACAGCGGCTGGTACTACTGCCAGAGCTGCCATCAGGACAACTCCTTCCTCATCCCAGCTCGCCTGCTGCACAACTGGGACACCAACAAGCACAAGGTGGGACAACACACACACACACACACACACACACACACACACACACACACACACACACACACACACACACTCTGATGTTCAAACCAGTAGATGTTAATATAGCTTAGCATAAAGAAAATTATGAAACGACTTGCCTGGCTTTGTCCAAATGTAAAGAAAATCGACCAAAATCAGCATCTGAAACGTTCCCAATTTAATGCAATGTATTTTTAAAGTTTAAATTAAATATAAATACTTTGTGTCACATCATCCATTACAATGGAACAGACAAACAGTCTGCTTGTGATGTCCTGGGTACAGTCGTCCTAATGTAGACTCTGATGTTCCTCCTCAGGTTTCTAAACAGGCCAAAGAATTCCTGGAGTTTGTGTATGAGGAGCCTCTGCTTGACGTCCAGCAGCTCAACCCTTGTCTGTATGAGCACTGTGAGCCTCTCAGCACTGTGCTACGTCTCCGGCAGCAGCTACAGTCGCTGCGGGCCTACCTGTTCAGCTGCCGGGCAACCATTGCCGAGGACCTCCGACGAAGGTAGGTTGGCGGTTAAATTTTGGCGGGTTGGTGCAAATATTACACTACGGCAAAAAAATTCTTCCCTCCTGCTCTGAAAGGAATATTTACCAGTGGCAGTGCAGCGCAACTGCTGTTTTGGAGTGGCTAAGAAAAAATCATTTCTGGGGAAAGAAAACTGCAGTTTTATCTGCGTGAATACTTAAAACACATGGTATTGGATAAGTACATAGATTCGTGTACTCGCCGATGTCCAGTCTGGCGTTTTCTGCAGCGTCAGTATTTCTGCTACTTGTCTCAGTATAGAAAAACCTTGAGCCTAAAAAAGTGTGACTTTAACAAACTTAATGAACCACTGACAGTAAATGTTGAGCTGTTTCTCAGTTATTTTCTACGCACACAGGAGACACCAGCTATTATTTTTCTGGTTAACATGAACAGCCTGTTTCATCCGTCAGCGTGACGGATGAACTTAAATATTTGCTACATATTCCCCCTGTTGACGAGCAGACAGTTGATTATACAGACTGTTAACATCTCCTCGTATGATCTGTGTATGTGTGTTTATGTGTGTATGTCTGAGTGCATGTGTGTATAGTGCCATAACTTTTATCTGCATGCATTCCTGCACACATAAAAGATTGCCTGTGTGTGTGTGTGTTCATGTGTGTGATGGTTGGGGAGGAGGGGTGACTGTTTATCTGAGTGGAGTCCCTCTCTATAAGCCTTGTCTCTGAGCTGATGGATGCTCCTCGCCCTGTTCCAGGTCACTAATACACTCTGATCTGATGGAGCTTGTCTAAAATGAGAATCATTCACCTCAGCAAACACATTTGACTCTTAAAGATATTCTATCACTGTAACCCCCCCCCCCTCTAATGAAAAACAACATGTGAGATGCTTTAACTGTGAAGTCTTTATTTGAGTCTGTGTGAACTGTTTTAATGTCCCACTGTTAAAATATTTGTTCTCAGGCTTTGGTTCCACAACTGAAACTACTGGTATTTTTTAAAAAAGCATATTAATGGTCCCCTGTTGCAAAGCAAAGCAGAGCAGCATCGTGGTGTTCTGTGTTTACTTCTGTCCCATTAGCTAGTGCCGGCTAGTGCCCCGCCACTTCCAAACACTGTAGGATTGATGAGGGCCATGGCGCTAAAACCTTCCCCTGGTCATCAGTCTCCTTCAGGAGAAATCTGAGGAGAGATGTCTGTTGCACACGGGTGGAGAGTCATGGACACAGTCACACATACAACCACGAGACACACTAAAGGCCGTGACTTAGAGACGACTGGGGTTATGACTTTGTGCTATCACAGGTTTACATTTGTGATGACGTGTTGCGAAGGAAACTTTGGCCCAGTCTTTAGACCAAAAACTGTTCTACTGCGATGTTCTGCTTGTGTCGGCTCAGTAGCGAGATTCGCAAATCTTTCAATCGTGATGTTTCCACACGTATCAAACAACTAATTATCAGAAAAATGAACATTCAAACACATCAGTGTGATTAAAGTAGAATGACAGAAACCATCTTTGAAAGAAAATGTATGTGACGTGTACTTTGACTTGTTGGTTCGGCCCATGTCCCATCAACTAACATGGAGGAGGCGGGGTTTATGACCTGTTCTGCAGCCAGCCACAACGGGGCGATCAAGATGATTTGGCCTCACTTCTGAGGAGCTGTCTTGTCGTCCATCTCTGCAACATTTAGAGTCTATGAGCGATAACAACAGTCACTTATCCAGTTTGAGTGTAAACGACAAGTGACAAACCTTCAGCTTCCAAGATAGTTGTATCGACACTGTGTCAACACAAACCGAACCAGATAAGATTCATTGCAGAGATCGTGTTTTTGGTTTGCATTAGACTGTAACCTTACCCTACACACACACACACACGCACACACACACACACACACTGAATCAGGTCGGACCCTCCTTCAGTACACAATCATAACCTCTGGGTGATAACAGATATTTAATGAAAGGTGTGTCTTCTGGAGTGGAAAGAACATTTGAAAAATACAGAAAGAAAATATGGAATCAAATACTAACGGGTCTAATACAAATATTGTGAGTTTGTCAGGTTGTGTGTGAATTTCCACACACGCATGGATCCGTGTTTCCTCTGTTTGTTATCTAATCCTAAAATGTTTGAGTGCTCAAGTGCTTTTATCGTGATCAGCACACGCTTCAAGGGTGTGTTCACCTGGGTACTGACTACACAGTCATCAGCAAACATCTGTGTGTGCACTCTATGTGAGTGTGTTTGATCACCGAAGCTGTGTGTGTGTGTTGTTTTATGAATGCTGATGTGGTAACCATTGGTAACATGCCAAACATAGTAGTTTATCAGGGGTGCCTATCACCATGAGGCGTCTGGATCATACACACACACACATACTTGTGTTTTGGTGACACTCATCACAGCTTAGACAGGAATTAACATGGTGCCATCCATCTTAGTGGTCTGAGAGGAGGACAGACACGCACGCACGCACGCACGCACGCACGCACGCACACACACACACACACACACACACACACACACACACACACACACACACACACACACACACACACACTCACACACTCCTGTCTGTGTTTTGCAACCTAATGTTAGAAGATGGAAAGTTACTGACTCTAGATTGACATCAACACTTTGTTTAGCAGCGTGAACTGAGACGCTGCTGGTTAAACATTAAATCAGTGCAATGTTCATATTTAGCTACAGAGTGTGATCATTGTTCCACGTATAGTTGTTCTCAAGACTGTAGCTATAATTTAAAAACCGGCCTGGACACTGGTTTGTGTTTAATCAGAGTCACATTTAAGAAAACTAAACTTGACACCAGTTTAGTCATGAGATTAAAAGCCTGAGACTCTAGAGAACAAGTTGTATAAAACATACATTTCTGTGATTGTGCAAAACACAAGCGTGATCTTATGTCTACACTTTGCAGGTTCTGCTGGAATTCAGAGTATGATGCATTAAAACTGTCTCTTGTGTCTTTTCACAGGATCTTTCCCAGAGAATATCTGCTACAGCACATTCACCTGTACTCCATGGCAGACCTGCAGCAGGTACACACACACACACACACTCTTTCACTTCAGAGAAATATCTTAGGTCTAATGCTTCGTTTGAACCCATTTAAACAAACATTTTACTGCCACTGATTCATTTGGCAGGTTGAAAAAACATTGATTGGCATATAATCATTTTTGTGGCAACATTAATTGTCAAAAACTCAGATTTTGGTCTTAAATTTCACCAAATATTCTGTGTTTTGCTTTTCTCGGCCAATAATTAATTCTGTTTAGTTTCATTCTGTCTTGCCGAATGACTGAATGTCAGCTCAGCTGTTTTTAGGAAATGACAGAGACCTTTGTTGAAAATTGTTTTTCAAAAGGATTTCCACCTTCAGTAGAAACGAACAGACGGGTAGTGTCGTATTTTTGTGGGATTTGTTGCTCAAAATAACATCATTCTTTTTATTATTCTTAAAGTAAACACAACACATGTGTTTGTTGGCAAGTGTCCATATCATAATGATTATAAGAACAGGTGATACCCTCTAATGGATCCATTAAAACTGGATTAGCTCTGCTAAGTATCCTGATCTAAGAAAACAATTGTCATTGAAAAAGAATTCATATCTGCTGTTGTGTATTATTTTCTAATATAAAAACAGCTCATTGCTCATTATCACATATTACATTTGCTGCTCACCTCGCAGTGTTTACCATTCAGTGTCTGATGTGTTTTTACTGTCGGCTCAGACAGTCAGAGTTCATAGTTTCAGCTGCATAAATTGAATGAGTTCTGTGGGAAACTGTCACCACCACTGGTCCATCTGCTGTTCATACGAGTTCCACCGCCCACCTCTGGATTAATCTGAATTTAAACGTGTTCACTTTACCATGAAAGTTTTTGTTTCTTAAGAGTCGATCATTAAAAAAAAGGAGACGCACCCCGGCCTTTCGGCAGTTTGCGTATCTCAGGGTTGGACTGATATTCTTGGTGGTGTGTGGTGGTGGTGGTGGAGGGGGGGGGGGCAGGTCAGAGAAAAGCGACTACAAATGACTCAAAAGTTCCTTTGTTTGTCATTTTGTTCATTATGTTGTACCCTGCCCCATTTTTTTTTCTTTCACCCCTCTCTGACTCGGAGCTCGGCCACAGAGTCTCACGGTGAAAGAGACTAACCCCCCTCGTCCCCCCCCTACTCCCACAATCTGTGTCTCTCTGCTTCACTAATTGGTCACATTCAGAATCAACAGGCAGAAAAACAAAGCGTGACATCCCTACATTTTTCCCAACATCCCCTTGGCCCCACACACACACACACACACTCAGCATACATGTGTGGTGTGTGTGTGTTCCTCTCTCTGTTTACCTGCTAAACTCTGGGATTAAACTAGAAACCGACGATTTAGTTTTATTTTAACAATAGGTTGTCTTTAGTAGAGTCTGCACGGCTCCCTCTTCTCTTTTCCTCCCCCCTCTCACCTCCCCATCTCTGCCCCTCTCATCTCTCTCTCTTGGAGATTCTCAAGCACTCTTCCTCTTAATTGGTTTTCCATATTAACAAGCTTGTTTCTTTTGATTCACCTCCTGAATAAAATGACGCTCTTAATCAACATGGCTTTTTTTGTTCCGGCCCAGAGGTCAGTGAAGGCTAAACTCCCCTGGCTAAACCCTGGCCCACGCTAGTCTATTCACCTCCCGACAAACAGCCTCCACCCATATCCCCCTATTAGCAACCAGTTTATTCTGCAGACACCATATGTGTTTGTGTAAGGGCACTCTGCCCTTTTCCTCCACTGGTTTTAAGGATTGCTCGTAGGGTTTTGTGTGAGGACTAAAGTAGTTGAAAAGAACGTGTGTGTGTAGTTGTGTTTGTGCAACAGGCTTCCCACAGTGACACCCTGGCATCCCCTCTATGCCAGGCATGCCTCTCCACTCACACTTGTCCACACACACACACACGCACACACACAGAGGCCTCTTCAGTAAATGCTGAATGTTATCAGAAACATTTCCAGTTTCTCCACACAGCCTTTATTTCAGGTAGAGCTTAATGTTAGTTCATGCACAACACAGACCTCTATGATGAAGTCAGAGGAATCTTTGTCACCCTAATAATACAGAGAATTATCAACACAACTAGAATAGTTGATATCTCCACCGAGGCTCAACGGTCCCTTTATAAAATCACATTTAAATTCACTGGATCCATATGTTTATTACACACACTCATAAATAACTGATTTTTAAAAACAAGATAAATGGATAAATTCCTGAGAAATCAACTAAAATGTTGACAAACACCACAACTAACAATGTTAAAGAAAGTGAGAAGAAAATCCTAGATCTGCCCCCGGACCTGCACAAAAACTTTACAAAGTGATAATCGGTTGGTTTTCCTGGTAAACTAACAGACAAACAAACAACGTACCCTCCTTGGTGGAGGTACAAAACAACAAATACAC